AGCTTATTTCTGGCACAGCCAGTGAATGTGGTGGATCTTGCTAGAAAAAGGACCAGTTGGCCCCTTTTCTGCAGTGTTTGGCTGGCTTGTGTGTCCCAGCTGGAAGCATCCCTTTGAAGAACACCAGCCATGCTACACTGTGGTGATGGCCAGGTTTTACTTCTTTCTGCAAAGGTGGTTGTTTAATTGGCAGATACCAATTAATTGGCAGGTACCTTGGGTGAGAAACAGGGAAATAATCTATTCTGGAAGTCCTCAGGCTGTTTCACAGCTGTCAGGGTGAGATCTCCAACTTGTCCTTGTTGTTTTTGCAGTGAGGCAAATCAAGCTGGTGAAAGGTCTTCAGCCCCTCCAAGTCCCTGAGAAAGGGACTGTCACCTTTGAGGTGGAGGTGTCACATGAGGAGGTGGAAGGGACCTGGCAGAAGGACGGCGTTCGGCTGAAGCCTTCCCCAAACATCAGCATGGGTGTCCAGGGGAAGAAACATTCCCTGACTCTTTCTTCGGTGACTCTTGAGGACGCAGGACTCATCTCCTTCAAAGCAGAGGGTGTTCATTCATCAGGGAAGCTCACGGTGACAGGTAACAGACCCCAAAGGCTCTGACTCTAGTTGGGATGGGACATGGTTGTCTTCTCCTGGCCCTGAAGGGAAACTTTCAAGAGAGGAGACAGCTCTCCTTGTAACTGCAAAGGATGTGAAACACTGGACCATCATCAATAACATGTCCTTCTCATGTCAACAGGATTATTGTAACATCATTGCCCACAGAACATGAGAATGTTTTCAAAACAATATGATTGTGTTGTGACAAGTTTTACCAAGCGTGGAAACCAGGCTCTTCCTAAACATCATTGCTTGTACCAGATGGTCCTATATTCCCACTGATGGGCTTTCTAATTTATTTATTTTTTTTGCAGAATTGCCTGTGAAAATCAGCAAACCCTTGGTAAATGCCAGTGTAGCTCAGAAGGACAAGGTCACGTTTGAGTGTGAACTCTCCAGGCCCAACGTGGACGTTAAGTGGTTCAAGGTACAGCACTTAATGAATAGTGATATTTTAATTTCTCACTTCTCTGAAAGGGAATGAGAGCCTTTATTTTCACTTCCAGGACATGTGAGACTGAGCTTGTGCTGGACAGCTCTCACCATTGCTCTCTTGTCCTTGTGTTCATGTATTTGCCCAGTTAATCACCCTCTGTTGTTTATTTACTGGCTGTGTTGATTGAAAGTTAAACTTTTCTATTCTTGCCCAGAATGTGAGCTCTGCTGTGGATAGCAAAGCAGTGTTGTGCTTTACTTCATGCCTAGCAGTTCTCACACAGGATTTATAGCCTTGCTGGGAACTGTGATAGAATCATAGAATCATTTTAGTTTGAAAAGACCTTTAAGATCATCAAATCCAACCATTAAACTAACCCTGCTAAGTCCACCACTAAAGCATGGCCCTAAGCACCACATCAACGTGGCTCTTCAACATGTCCAGTGATGGTGACTCCACCACTGCTCTGGGCAGCCTGTGCCAGATCCTGACAACTCCTTCTGTGAAGAAATTGTTCCTAATATCCAATCTAAACCTCCCTTGGTGCAACTTGAGGCCATTTCCTCTCATCCTTTCACTTGTTACTTGTGAGAAAAGACTGGCACTTGCCTCTCTACCTCCTTTCAGGGAGTCGTAGAGAGCAATAAGGTTTCTCCTGATTCTCCTTTTCTCCAGACTAAATATCCTCAGCTTGTCCTCATAAGACTTACCCTCAAGACCTTTCACCAGCTTTGTTGCCCTTGTACCTGCTCCACCACCTCAATGTCCTTCTTATACTGTGGTGCCCAAAACTGCACACAGAAGTCAAGGTGCAGCCTTCAGGTGAAGCTTCAATTCCCTTTGTACCCAGCAGTAATTCTGGGGACCAGCTCAAGCATTTTATGTTCCTTCCTTGGGGCTCAGCTGGTGCTTCCCTTAAATTGGGATGGTGGCATTTCTTCAAGGTAATGCCTGAAGGGGCTTATTTCCAAGCCTATAGGGCACCTGAAGCCTTTAAAGAGGTGTCTAAGGAAAACTTTGCACTGTGCTTAAATTTCAGCCTATGCTCCAGTAAGTGCAGTTCCAGTAAGTCCAGTGAGACAGATGAATGTAGCATAAGTCTGGTTGTTTGTCTTGGTCCCTGCAGACACAGAGGAGTTGGTGGTGATCTAGTTTGGCCTTTTCTCTTCTAGGATGGGAAGGAGCTCCAACAAAGTAAAAACATGGGGATTATTTCCCAAGGAAATAAGAGAAGCCTCATTATTCACAAGTGTGAATATGAAGACCAGGGAACCTATACATGTGAAGCAGCTGAAGACAAGACATCAGCTACCCTAAAAGTTCATGGTATGTTTGACTAACGTAGGAAATTAACTTAACTGCAGTATTTTTGACTACACAGCAAGAAATATTTCCTGGGCAGTTTGTGTGTTTTGCGATGTTTTATTCTGGATAACTTCCCCCTGGTGAGAAAGTGCTGGCTGAGCTCTCCTGTGAGGAGTATTTTTGGAAGAGGAGTCTACTTCTTTTTCTGACTTCTGGTCTCTGGAATGTAAATAGTGTTGCTAGATTCACAAGTTAGCAGATGGTGGACAGCATAGCACAAAGCAGAGAGTAAATGGCTGGTGCTGACATGGTTTTGGTTTAGCTTCTGCCATGGTCACCAGGGGACTTTGTCTGAGTAGGGACTGCTCAAACTTGAGGTATGATTTCAAGAAGTGCCTGCTTTTTGTGTTGTAAATCTTTCTCACTGCACCTTTCATTTATGCTCAAGACAGTTTTTCCCTCCACTGTGCAGCTGGTCAAGCACCAGATGTGTTTTGTCACCAGACTCTGAAACACCAGAGAGAAGTTAGTGCTAGAGGCCAGTTACTGAACAGACAAGTCTGCTGTGCTCTGGAAGATGTTATTTTCCAGAGGGACATCTGAAAAGACAGATCAGCTCTTTCTTATTGCTTACTAGGTGCTGTCCTCATGTGGCCACTTGGGTTCAGCAATATCTTCATTAACATCTGTCCTGTTCCTTTGTTCTGTTGAACTTCCCTTTTTCTCCCTGCCTTAGTGACTGGGATGGGCTGCTATTTGAATGCTGGCTGCTTTCTGTTTGAACTCTTCTCCTGAGGCCCATCCAAGGTGTATCAAGGCCTTCCCTTTCATAAGGAAAGTTCTGACATGAATTAGGGCAAAGCTGCAGAGTTAAAGAGGATTCTACTGAGTTCAGGGGGCTGTGAAGAAAAGGTGTCTCCTGGTCAAAACTCGTGGCTGTAGTTCTTGTGGCAGATACAGTCCAGACACACAGGCAAGGGAGTAAGTGGAGAACATGCAGGGAAGCATGTGAATGAGACAGGTCTCTAGTGACACAGGAGATTGTAGGCTTGTGTTTAGTTTTCCTTGGCAGATTTTCTTTCATTACTATGTTTAATTTCATTTAAAACCTGTGTAAAGTTCCCACAACCATAAAAATCATCTTGCAACGAGGTCCACTGTAGCTGGTAGCTCTACCTGTAAATTCAACCATAAAATAAATGTGTTGAAGAGAGAAACTACCCAGGAAGGGAGGCTGGTGTAGAATGAAACACAATCCCATTCTTTTCCATGCAATTATGCAGAAGGTGAACACATAACACACAGTTATGGAGAAACCCCAAGTAAACATTTGTCTCTATGATTTCACAGCCCGAGATATCAAGATTGTTAAACCCCTGGAAGATGTGGAAGTGAATGAACATGAGAGTGCATCTTTCGTCTGTGAGATTTCACATGATGAGGTCCAAACCCAATGGTACAAAAATGACAATAAGCTGAAGGCTGCTGACAACATCAGAATGCGTCGAGATGGTAGGATGAAAAAGGGGGATCTCCTGCTGGAATGGGCATGGGTTGGGATAGGTGCTGGTATTGGAGACTAGAAAGAAAGTTCTGACCCTCAAAATTAAGGTGGGGTAACAGAGAATTCCCCATTATTTTGGGCACTGCAGCTGGGCTGGGGCAGTGACATGGCAGGGACTTGATAAGGCAAATTTGGTGTTGTCCCACCATCCCATGCTGCCAGCAGCGGGTAAGAACTTGTATCATCTGAGAGTGAGTGGGATCCTTGTGTTTCAAGTACTTTTTAGACAGTGGGGACCACATTCAGTCAGGCCTTGGAGGTTATCCTTTGATCCAGGGACACAGACATAGAGGAATGGTTGTGAGAGCTGGTGGTGATGCACTGAAACCAGCTGAGTGTTGCTTAACCTGGCAGTGTCCCCTGGAGGGTGAAGCTGTTTGCTCAGGGCAAGCTGTGTCTCCTTGTCTGTTTGTTCTCAGGAAAGACCTATTCACTGACTTACACACGTGTCCAAGTCGAAGATGCAGCAGAGATCAAATTTGTAGCAGAAAAGGCAGAATCTCGTGCCCATCTCACTGTAAAAGGTAATTCTGCTCTTCACGCCAATACTGCTCAAGCTCTCTCATGCTACAAGCCAACCAACTTCCCTCACTTCTAATGTGAAAAAGGTTAAACAGCAACTAAAGCTTTCAGGGAAAGATAAAATCTTCAACTTACCTTACAGCATGTGAAAATATCAGCCTGGGATTAACTTTGGCTAAATGACATGGTTTGTTTTCTCTGGAGGTGGGTTTTGTACATTAAGACATTGAAATTCATGTTTGAATTGGAGAGTCAAAGAGCTGTAGCTTGACTTTCTCCTGCATTTTCTGTTTCTGGAGTATGTATAAAAAGAATAGAGCATTCTGGGGGGTTTAACTTTAACAGTGTGATAGAGAGAAGGCAGACATTGGAACTAACACAGTGCTGAGGAGCTCAGGACCTCTGAGATCAGTGCCTGGCTTTGCCATGGCACCGCTGCTAGTGTAGGGTAAATTACTCAGTATCTCTTCAGTTCAGCCATACAAATGGTAAATTAGTTTTCCTTTCATTAGCTCTTT